CATCCAGCTCTACATCTTGTTATCTCAAAGTATAGAACAGTTGGTTTAACGTTTGTCATGGAAAACGTGATGAAGTCAACAATGAAAAGATAATAGCTGTGCATTTAGAAAAAACTCAAGGAATTTGGGAAGGGTCAACATGTTTATCATTTTTTTGGAATTCTTTGAAGAAATAACACATGCTATGAGTAAATGGGGTAGACATACAATACTTGAAATTCTAAAAGGCACTTGATAAGTGTCACATTGAAGGTTATTATGGTAAACAAAAGCTCATAGTGTAGGGACAACACATTAGTATGGATAGGAGTTTGCCTGTTTGGCAGAAAACGGAGTGTGTGCATAAATGGGTCTTTGATTGGAAGGATGTGATAAGTACAGTTCAGAAGGAGTTTGCGCTCATATTTTTACATTTTATGTCAATGCCTTGGATGGAAGGGTAAAGGCAGAATAGCTAAATTCACAGGTGACACCAATAGGGAGGAAAGCGTATTTTGGAAAAGAACAAAGGGACACACTTTTAAAGTGAAAGGTAGGACGTTTAGAGAGGTTTTGAGGAAAACCTTTTGCACCCAGAGGGTGGTGGGAATCTGCCTGGGAGGGTAGTGGAGGCAGGAAACCTCACAATGTTTAAAAAGTACCTGGGTGAGCACTGGAAATGTCATAACATTCAAGGCTATTGGTCTGGTGTGGGAAAGTGGGACTTGTGTCAGTAGAAATGTATTTTTGGCGGCACAGACTCAACGGGCTGAAGGGCATCTTCTGTTCTATACGATTCTATGATTCGGAGACATATGGAATTTGCTGACGTGTATACATTGGTTGAGTAAATGGGCAAAAAACCTGACAGACAGAGTATAATGTGGGAAAACGTGAAGTTGTGCATTTTAGCAGGTCGAATAGAAAGCACTACTTAAAAGGAGTATGACTGTGGAATTCCAAGATGCTGAGGGATTTAGGTATTCTCGTGCAGGATTTGAAAAATATTAATATGTAGGTACATGATCAAGGAGGCTGATGGGATACTACCCTTTTTTGGAAGAGGAATTGAACATAAAAATAAAGAATTTATGCTTCAGTTACACAGGGCATTGGTGAGACCACATCTTGAATACTATGTGCAGTTACCTAAATTCATTCAAGAGATGTGGGCATCACTGGTTGGCCAGCATTTATTGCCCAATCCCAGTTGCCCTTGAGAAGGTGGTAGTGAGCTGCCTTCTTGAACCACTGCAGTCTATTGCCTGGAGGTAGACCCACAATGCTGTTCTGAAAAACAGTCCAACTGGACTTGAAACATGAACTCTGTTTTTTCTCTCTCCACCGACATTGCCAGACCTGCTGAGTTTCTGCAGCGTTATCTGTATTTTACTTCAGACTCACAAGGCCGTTAGTGGGGGGTTTCCAGGATTGCGACCCAGTAATGTTGAAGAAACAGCGGTATATTTCCAAGTCAGGATGGTGAGTGGCTTGGAGGGGAACTTGAAGATGGTGGTGTGCCCATGTATCTGCTGCCCTTGTCCTTCTAGATGGAAATGCTCACAGGTTTGGAAGGTGCAGTCTAAGAAGCTTTGGTGAATTTCTGCAGTGCATCTTGTAGATAGTACACACTGCTGCGACTGAGCATCAGTAGCAGAGGGAGTGAATATTTGTGGATGTGGTACCAGTCAATGAGACTGCTTTGTCCTGGATGGTGTCAAGCTTCTTGAGTGTTGTTGGAGCCGCACTTATCCAGGCAGGTGGGGAGTATTCCATCACACTACTTTAAAATCAGGTGCTGGCCTTCCATGACAGAGATGAGGAGTTCAGAGAGATATGAGACTTCAGAACACTATCTCCTAAGGCCTAAATATTTTAAAGAGAGAGGTGGATAAAGTTCTTTTAGGCTAAGAAATCAAAGGTTATTCATGGTTAGACAAGAATGTGGAATTTGAAGAACAAAGAATCAGCCATGATTTTGTTGAATTGCAGAACAGGCTTGGTCTAATTTGGCTTCCATTTTGTGTATACGTTCCTTTGTGATAAAAGGCTGCTTTAATCGGAAGGCACTTAAAGACTTGTGATATGTGTACTCAGCTGAAGTCTTGTCCATGTAGAACTGGTAAATATCTGTAACATATTTATATGTTTATAGGTTTATATATAATATTCTTAAGTTTTCAAAATGGTGACTACAGAATGCACAGAATTCACAGAATGAGTGAGTGGAAATTGGTGCAAATTTGGATGCACCGCTGACCTTTGGAGGACTAAACAAAAACTGAAAGAACTGTGGATGCTGGAAGTCAGAAACAAAAACAGAAATTGCTGGAAAAGCAGGTCTGGCGGCATGTATGGAGAGAAATTAGAGTTAACATTTTGGGTCCAGTGAGCCTTTTGGGTCTTTTGCAGGAGTTCATTTTATGAAGTGAATAAGATGGGATTGCAGCTCAGACAGCATTAGAAACAGTGAAAGGTTGCAGCACAGCAAAAGGCCATTCACCCATCATTTCAGTGCTGGATGAATAAACCAGCTGCCCGTTCGAATCCCATTTTCCTGGTCCATGGCTTTGCAGGTGACAGTGCTTCACCTGCAGATCTGAGTTTGTTTAAAAGTGAGGTGAGGGTTTCTACCTCAACCAGCAAACTGGACAATGAATTCTAAACACCCACCAGCTTCTGGGTCAAAGTATTTTTCCATATGACCCACTTCTATCGATCTCCTTAAATCTTCTCCCCCCGGTAATTAACCAGGTTAATTTCCACTGGGATAAACAGGTCTTTCTTTTCCACTTTATCATAGTTGCTAATTTTTTTGTTGCTCACCTACATTCAGTCACCTCCCAGCATCCTCTGTTCCAATGAAAGCAACTTTTAACTATATAATTTTTCCTTAGCTGCAATTGTCGAGCCCTGGCCTGGTTCTTAATGGGTTAGCCTGGAGGTAACAAGCCTGGATGGGGACGCAAGCTGCACATGAGCTGAGGTAGGCATTAGAGACGCATGATATTATGGAAGGGAAGGTAGAAAGTTTCAGTGCATTGGGAAGATGAGGACTGGAAGTTCAGCTCAGGGTCAGATAGGACACAGAACATTTAGTGTACAAATACAGCAAAGCTAACCTGTCATCTAATTTCAACTTGTACTTTAATTCTGCACAAGAGAAACAGCAGGGAGATTAACGAATTCATTACAAAAAGTACAAGGCCAGTATTTCCTAAAAAAAAGTAGCAAAGTTATTGTGTTGCTCTCCTGAAACTGCACGTTAATATTTAACTACATTTAATAGAGACCTCACAGAAATAACAGCTGCATAAAGTTAAAGCAACAACTTCACTGGCATTCAACTATCAATTGGACAACTTAGGTGGTCGGGTTTTGTTTTCTGGGTCTTAAAGTAAAAAAAAACAGGTTTTAGCTGGAAAGGATTAGAATGCAGAATGTGAGACATGCAGATAAATAAAGAAATAGCAACTTGTTAGCTTGATCAGAAGTCACTTGAGTATCTTTGAATCCATCAAATGAAACATTAAAGCAATGTGCATCCTCAGCTATAGAGAACGCAATCATCTTATTCCGATCTAAAATTTACCTAAACCAGTGGGTTCTATGAGCCACAGGGTCAGCAGATGCATGGAAATGCCATCGCAGAACCACAGAGTCATACAGCATGGAAACACACCCTTTGGTCCAACCAGTCCATGCTGAACACAATCCCCAAACTAAACTAATCCCACCTGCCTGCTCCTGACCCATATCCCTCCAAACATTTCCTATTCTTATATTCATCCAAATATCTTTTAAATGTTGCAATTGTACCCGCATCCACGACGTTCTCGGAAAGTTCATTGCACACGTGAACCACCCTGTCTGTAAAAAAATTGCCCCGTATGTATTTTTAAATCTCTCTCCTCTCACTTTAAAAATATGCCCCCTAGTCTTGAAATCCCCCATCCTAGGGGGAAGACGACTTCCATTAACTCTATCTATACCACATTATTTTATAAACTTCTATCAGGTCACCTCTCAATCTCCTACAATCCAGTTAAAAGAAGTCCCAACTTATCCAGCCTTTCTTTATAACTCAAACCCTCCATACCTGGCAACATGCTGATAAATCTCTTCTGAACCCTCTCGAGTTTAATAATATCCTTCCTATAACTGGGCGACCAGAACTGGACACAGCATTCCAGAAGACACCTCACCAATGTCATGTACAACGTCAATATGACTTCCCAGCTCCTGTACTCAAAGGATGGAGCAATGAAGGCAAGAATGCATCTCCAACTACTGTGCTCTTCCCAAGTCGCAGCTCATCCTGACTTGGATATATCAATGTCCTTTCATCAGTGTCTGGCCAAAGTCCCTCCTTAATAGTACTGTGAATGTTACTGCTGAAACTGCAGAAGATCAAGATATCAGTCTGGCAGTCCCATCTCAAAGGGAACTCATGGGCAACAGCTTTGCTAGTGATGACCATATGCCTGATGGATGATTTGAGAAAATCAATGTCCATCTGCTAAAATAACCTGAAATTTAATAATGAAAGCTCAGCTTATTAACTCAAAAATGGTAGGTTTGTTTTCTTCTGTCATCTCATTTGATGGCACATGGAATCATAGAATCCCTACAGTGTGGAAACAGGCATCCCACCCGGACCCATTCCCCTATAACCCCTAATCTACACATCCCTGGACACTATGGGTCATTTAGCATGGCCAATCCACCTAGCCGCACATCTTTGGACTGTGGGAGGAAACTGGAGCGCCCGGAGGAAACCCACACAGACACAGGGAGAATGTGCAAACTCCACACAGACAATCACTCGAGGGTGGAATTGAACCCAGGTCCCTGGCTCTGTGAGGCAGCAGTACTAACCACTGAGCCAATCTGAGTTCGAGACAAACTGCCGAAGAGAAGGCAAAGTCAAGAACTGTCTCTAGGCACAGACCTCAAGAAACGCTATTATTACACATTAATAAGAAATACTGCAAGGTATTAGTACAAGGTAATCATACACATACAAGATTCTGATTAGTAATTACATATTGATATACAATTCCATTTGCTATACTATCTAATGTTAATCATTCCACTCAACATGCTCCTCAGCACACTTTTCTATAATCCACACCAACACTCACTCACTAACTCTGCCCACACTGCACTACTTATACCTAGTGGAGGGCATTGCCATGGCATCATCACAAAGTTGCTCCAGGGTCCTAAAGCTCTTACACAAGATGTTTCTCTCTCTGCAGATGCCACATGGCCCATCAAGGGTTTTCAGTGTTTCGTAATTGTAGCCTACTTGCTTCAATGAAAAGGAACAAAACATGTGGCTGCCTCATCAAAGGCTACTCACCAATCTTCCTGTCAAACTTCCAGGCTGGGATGTCTCTCGCCTTTGTCACAAGATTGTCAGCTGGGAGAGGGACCGACACTTGAATGGGGCCGGATACTTCAATGGCAGAACCATTTCTGGTGAACAAGTGAATGCTGATTGCAGCCACAGGGATCAATTCAAGCCTGGAATGGTTAACTGTTAAAAACAAAAACAAACACAGTAACATCAGCACACCCCCAAAACAGTATTCAGTATGTTGTAAAGTCAATTTGTTACAATCTATTTAACTCATATTTGGAAAAAATATAGACTTAGGAGTGATAGGCAGCATGGCTTTGTGCAGGGGAGGCCATTTCTCAAACTTAATGGAGTTTTTTGAGGAAGGGAGAAAGATGATTGATGAGGGCAGGGTGGTGAACGTTATCTACATAGAATTTAGCAAGGCCTTTGATAAAGGTCCCTCATGGCAGACTGATGCGGAAGGTTAAGTCACATGGAATCCACGGTGAGATAGTAAGATGGTTACAGAATTGACTTTGTCATAGAAGACAGAGAATAGTGGTGGAAGGGTGTTTTTCTGACTGGAGATCTGTGTCTGTGTGTGTGTGTGTGTGTGTGTGTGTGTGTGTAGTCGTGTGTGTGTAACAATAAGAAATCTTGCAAAGTAAACAAGATGCAGTTTATTGTTTTACTGCAACTATTTCTTTTTCGAAGAACAAGCCTCTACACATCTACAAAGGCTGTTGAAAGGACCAAGCCTTAATTCTCCCAGGATATCTGACTTTATTCTCCCACCAAGTCCTCTTGGCATCATCACAGTGGATGCGGCTACTGCACTCAATCAAGTATTATCCCTGTCAAACCCTTCCAAGCCCTTATACAATACCTTCCTGCCCTCTCTGTAATCCCTACAGCGAGGGATCAATTGGTTACCTCCATAGTACACTGTAAAACCTGCCAGAAGCACCAGTGAGTTCCAGCACCTTGAAATCCAAGAGGGTTGGAATATCATCACCTCCACTCATACATCATCTTGACTTTCAAGTAAGTGGTAATTCCTTTGTTGTCAATAGATTAAAAACCTCAACTCCTGACATTACCACGGAGAGAGGACCTTTGCCATGTGGACTGTTGAGGTTCATAAGAAAGCCCCATCATCACCTTTTCAAGACTTCCCAGGGCAGTACGTGTTTGCCTTTCTGGATATGCCCTATCCCAAGAGTGAACTACAAAATGAAAGCAGACACTTGTGAAATCACAGACTTTCTATTTACCTTGAATCTACCTCATTAGGTCTGAGGAACAGGCTATTCAGCCCCTCAAGACTGCTCTGCCATTCTAGGTCAAGGCTGATCAGTGACCTCCATGCCATAATTTTGTGCTATCCCCATATCTCGTAATGGCATTAGCAACTAGAAATCTACAGTCTTTAATTTGCTTCATGACTGAGCTTCCACAGCTTCCTGGAGTAGAGAATTCAAAAGGTTCACGTCATTCTGAGTGATGTGGTTTCTCCTCATCTCAGTCTTAAACGGCTTACCCTTTATGTTGAGATTGTGTGCCTGTGTCTTAGATCACACTGCTAGGGAAATCCCTTTTCGGCATCTGTTCTGTCTAGCCCTTTAGGAATTTTTGAGTTTCTATTCTATTGCTAATCTCAGCGGAACGAGGGTAGAAATTAAGAAATGTTGTTCATTTTAGCGTATTTGCAAGAAACTCTTACTGCTATATTTTGACAAAGGCATTGGTCTGTTTATTTTAAATAGTTTGATTACACCTCAACAGCATCACGAACGCGAACAGAATCTTCTGTAATCAAGGGTCAGATGGATTCACCGTCTTTGGACTCCCACAGCTGTTAGACAGATAAGAGGCAGCGCTAATTCTATCGATTGCTAAGCTAGACTATGATAGAAAAAGACTATTCTCACTTGTGACTCCCTGCACATGCAACCTCTTTGTCTTTCCAAGTTTTCATTGGAAGGGAAGTGGCCAGATGGGTAGTCACTTCAAACAAGATAATCATGGGGATTGGAGGACTGCAGGATTTAGGAAGTCATTCTGGTCCCCTCTCATAATTTAAAATTGATGTAGGTTATTTACCATCCTCCACCAGGGAATGCTGAATGGCATCAGGAGGTTTGAAATTGCAAAGAATAGAAAGATAGAAGGAAATTAAATTATGAACAAATAATGCAGTGTGAGAGCAAGTCTGGCAGAACATTAGAAAGGATCACTTGAGGCTAAGTACTGCTGAAATTTTCACATCAAATCCTTGTTGGTTTCAGCAGACGTTGTAAGTAATGGTTTACAAGTCACACATCTGCAAAGGTTCTATAATCTTCCAGCTCCTCCTGTTTGTCAACAGCTCAACGTTAACTGCAGAGAGAACATTCAAGTACCTGTTGCGTTAGCTTCATAGCCCAGGAGATAGGGGAATCCTTCCACTTCCATTTCGGTGTTGGCTGTTGTTAGGAAAGCGGACAAATCATTGTAGGATGTGTTTGCTGGAAGCCCAACATTCTTTCTCTGGAACTGGACCCATGGCTGATTCTTGGCACCTAGATGAGAAGAAAACAAACAGTAATACCTGGAAAACAGTTACTAATTACATCAGACCATCAAGGCAACGTTACAATATTTCTGCCTGATGCACACACAGGATCAATCCTGATTTTTTTTTTAAATTATTCATTCACAGGATGAGGGGGTCACTGGCTAGACCAGCATTTATTACCCACACAGAGGGCAGTTAAGAGCCAACCACATTGCTGTAGCTGTGGAGTCACATGTAGGCCAGACCAACTAAGGATGGCAGTTTCCTTCCCTCAAGGACATTAGTGAGCCAAATGGATTTTTCTGACAATGGATTCATGGTCATCATTGGAGTCTTAATTCCAGATTTTTTTTTTTGATATTATTAAATTCAAATTACACCGTCTGCAGTGGTGGGATTTGAACCCAGGTCCCCAGAACATTAGGGTCTCGACCCGAAACGTCAGCTTTCCTGCTCCTCTGATGCTGCTTGGCCTGCTGTGTTCATCCAGCCCTACACCGTGTTACCCCAGAACATTACCCAGGTCCCTGGATTAATAATTCAACAACAATACCAGTAGGCCATCACCCCTCCCGAGGCAGGGTTATTGACACCTGCGAAATAGTCACACTCCTTTCTCTGAGATTTCTTCCAGGAGTCACATTATCAACAACAAAAACAGAAATTGCTGGAAAAACTCAACAGGTCTGGCAGCATCTGTGGAGAGAAATCAGAATTAACGTTTCAGGTTGAGCGACTCTTCCTCACATTATCAAAGATCGGACAGACACAGTTTTAAGGAAGGAAAAGTCTTATGGTGTTAAAATAAATTATTTTCCTATTGAAATTAAAGCTATATTTCCAACATTATTGATCTCCCATACACACAATGATGTTCCTGCATCACTCCAGTTATTACAGTATTTTCATTCGGGATCAGATTTCAGCACTGAGATTGTTCGACTTTCAGTTTCTTCTTTTTTCACCATCTATCCCCTCTCCTTGCTCAGGGCAGATTCCTGGGGCTTCCTGCATACCAAATCCTGCCAGTTGTCATTCGTCAGTAAGGCTAATGGGATGCTATCATTTATTATGGCAGGAATTGAACAGAACCGAAAGGATGTTCTGCTTCAGTTTCACAAGGTATTGGTGAGACTACACCTTGAATACTGTGCACAACCTGGATCTCCTATTTATGGAAGGGTGTAAATGTGTTGGAACTGGTAGAGATTTACTTGATTGGTATCTGGGATGGGTGGGTTGTCTTATGAGGACTTATTTCCACTGGAGATGAGAAGACCAAGGGTGCGAGTTGATTAAAGTGTTTAAAATCCTTGAGAAGGTGGATCGGGAAAGGATGTTTCCTCTTCTGCCTGAATCTAGAACTAGGAGACGCTGTTTTAAAATTAGGGGCACCCTTTTAGAACAGAGTGGAGGAGAAACTGTTTCTTCTGGATGTTTATGCAACTTTGGAACACAGCCTGAGGAAGTGGTGCAGGGTCATTGAATATTTTTAAGACAGATATAGAAAGATTCTTGTTAGGCAGGGAATCGAAAGGTTATTAGGGGTAGATATGAATGCAAAGCTTAAAACACAAACTGATTAGCTAGGATTTTGCTGAATGGCAGAGTAAACCAAATGGCTGACTTCCACTCCTATTTTGTACGTTCCCAAGCAAGCCTAGAAAACAGACTTCATAAATACAGGGGGCATCATAAATGTGAAGGCTAACCCCATGACGACATGTCATGCCGTTCAGAGGAGGGGAACTTGGCAAAATTCTTCCTTCCTTTAACCCAGAGACCATTGAGGCCAGCTGGCCCTGATGGAGATCTCTTAAATCACCACAAATACAAAGGCCCATTCTTGAGTACAGCCTTTTCATCTTACAATTCCCCAATACCTGAGAGTTATTTTTGCCCATATGCTTCCGTGTATATTTTTAAAGTTTTATTTGTTCCTGGAATGTGACCAATGCCAGAAATAATTATTGCCTGTTGCTAATTGTCTTTGAGAAGGTGGTGGTGAGATGGTTGTTTAAACCACTGTGCTCCATGAGGTGTAAGTACACCCATAGTACTGCTAGAGAGGGTTTTCCTGGATCTTGCCAATGAAGAAATGATGATAAAGTTCCAAATCAGGATGGTGTACAATCTGAAGGGACTCTATGAGTCAAGGCTCTTTTGACGATACTTTCTAAACCTCAGGCCTCTACCCTGCTTGTAAGGCCATACACAATGATAATTAATCCAAAGAAACTGGAGTTATTCCTTCAAGAGTTTGCTTTGTTTTCTTTGATCTATATTTAGAAACAAATCCAATTCAGACTTCTAATATTACAAGTATCATCATATTTATCATCTCGGTCTTCTGATTGATTCGCTTTGTTTTATCCCAGTCTTTCATATTTTTATTTTTTTTTGCTCCTCCTTCTCTGTTCTGCTTTTCATGGTCTTCTTTCCATTTACTTTCTTTCTTTCTGATTAATTTTTATTTTTTGCCTCTTCACTTGCTGGTTCTTAAATTTCTGCTGTTCAGAATAATGACTGTGAAAAGCATTAGGCAATAAAATTTCAACAAAATTTCAAGGTCTCAGCAGGTTATGTGTGTGTTCAATATTCTTTGGCTTCATGAAAGAATAATGAAGACAAGTGTCATCGAGAACTTTCATCCGATGTCTGATGATCAACTGGGATTCTTGTAGATTAAATGAGTCTACCACAGGTTAATTATACAAATAAAAATCAAACGAGGAAAGGACATAAATATATTGTGTTAGAATCTGGCAAAGATAACACTGTATTTTTTAAAAAGTCAATTTATTCACAAAAATGCCTCGCTCAGAAAATGCAAAGCTAATTTTTAAGTTGATCCTGTTTTTTAAACCGTTGTCGACCTAACTGCATTTTGCTGCCTGTACCCTTGGCCTTTCACTCTGTTATACATTTCATCAATCTGTCTAACTTAACCTTTGTAAGGATTCTTGGTCTTCTATTCCTTTCAACTCAATCCCCACTCAGTGGTGGAAGGATCATGTTACCAGAAAACCCTTCTTTCACATTAAACTCCATGTGTGAGAAATCGTGCCATAAGAAACAGTGTTCTCCACTCAACTCCACCCTTTATCTTTTCTCTCTCATAGACTATAAATTTTATCATGACTACAACAGTCATTGATCCTCCGGAGCTCCTACTTTCGTTCTTTCTACTCTCCTAATATGTCTACCCATCTTGTTCCCTTCTGTGCAGTTTAAGTGTTGAACTAAATATTGATATTTTCCCCTCATTTTTCCCCTTTCCTCTCAGATTTTTAAAACTCAAACTTCTTTTTAGTTTTCAGAATTAGTGCCATCCTCCACTTTAGCCAATGAATTGTAAATAAAAGCAACATTTTTCTTGGCTTTGGCCATCAACTGAAGGATTTTTGATTATTCTGAACTCCCTAATAAGTGGCACAGAATGCTGACCCTCAAACCTCGCTGAGTATCAAGAATCCTACACTGCATAATAAATGAGTAACTCAGGCCATCATTATACTACAGTGCAATCAACGACAGGAGCTTGGCCTCCAGTACAAACACTGTCATGGTGTTAATACTTCAGTCCTCAAATAGAGAGAGCGTGAATTCAGGATATTCCAGTTCCTCTGTGAAAGGTCCACAGCAGCTGCTGCTAAACATTGAATTATCTAACGTTACGGTTTAGAACCAGGTCAGTCAGCCCCTGAAGTGCATTTCTTTATGTAGACTTCTGGGTCCGATCACACTAGCTCTCGTTTTCAATGTAATATTTCAAAGGTACCTCATTGACGCTACAGTATTCCAAAATGCCTGGTGGTCAGGAAAACTTCTATATAAATTCAGGTCTTTTTTAAACAGCATCATGTGCAGTTACCACTTCATGACATTTTGTTCATCTTGAAGATGTCTTTCAGGTCACTACAAAACCTTCTCAGCTTCAGTGGGGGAAAAAATACTGAACCTCTCAAGTTACTCTTTAAAATTGTATCCCTTTAATAATCTGAGAATCTATGCTAAACTAGGCTACCAGCTACAAACAGGAGAGGAAGATGCTTTTTCCCTGATTAGTCTGTTCAGGTTTTCCAATTATTCAAACCTTTCAAACAACAGTATGTGGGTAAGAGATAACACAGTGTGGAGCTGGAGGAACACAGCAGGCCAGGCAGCATCAGAGGAACAGGAAAGCTGATGTTTCGGGTTGGGACCCTTCTTCAGAAATGGGG